AATATTGATTTAGATCAGAGCACTTGGTTTTAAAAAAAATGAATTTTCATATACTGGATAGTAGTTTACACTTTTATTTTTCCAGAGTTACCCATGCCATCAAATTAGAAACAGACACTATCCACACTGGTAACACTTGCAGAAGCTATATATATAGGCCATGTGGAAACAACAGTCAGAATCAGATATGCGTGCACAGACAACACAACAGTGGACAAACAAGTGCCCATTACCAAGGACATTGCCTCAACATAGCAAAGTAGTGTGGCAACAGCCATGTTAAGTTTGGGTAGTGTTTTGGGGGACTGCTCTATCAACAAGTCCACTGAGTAAGATAATATCATGATTAAATGGTTTTCCACTTAATTCATAGTTTCTGTAAAAACTATATATCCTAATTTTGAAATTATGATTTTTGTACACTTCATGTCTTTGTTCAATACATGAGACAAAATTTTGTCAATTCTTCTGAAACAGGGGTTATAGATATGCAGCAGGGCCCAAAATTTTAAATTCCAATCACTTTAACTCAATTGACTGACACATTTTAAATATTGTGGTTAAAAACTTTAATCTAAAAACTAACCTCAGTCAGGATAAAGAGTCTCATTTGAATATTTCAAAGCTTTGATCAAGATGTAATAAACCGAAAGTCATGTCAGAGGGATCTTTACAAGTTTTATGTCAGATGATACTAAACTGCCTAAAAAAAACTTTCTAGAAATCAAAGAAGACTTAGGCTGATCCTAGGATCATTAGTATTTTTTTAAGATGGAGAAAGAAAGAAAATGGTAAAATTACAGGCCCTTTAAAAGATACACACTTTGTTGAAATCATATCCCCTATAATAGTTGTTCTACAAAATATGAAACAAAGGGTGAACAGAGTTCATGAATCATCTGTATAATCAGTCTCTGTAGAGCTCAGTAGTCGTCGAGCGGGACCATACGTTTGACAAATTACTGTAGCATAATGGTAGCATAATGGTATTCTAATGAGGATTTACTGTAATGCAGGATAAAATACATGCTTATTAACCCCGCAATTTCTATTGATGATGCATTTAAGCTTATGCATACGATTGTTGTATGCAATGTTGTTTCACTAAACATGGGACCATACATGTTAAGAAAGTTGCATCACTTGGTATATGGAATATATCAGTTAACACTGGACCATATGTGTTAAGTAGTTACATCATGTTGTATACAGAATATTTCTCTAAACACTGGACCATACGGGTTTAGAAAGTACATGTTTTGTACATGAAATGTTTTACTAAACACAGGACCATATACGTGTTTAGTAGGTTACATCATGTTGTAATAGATATTGGCTAAACACAGGAACTTATGTGTTTGAATAGTTAGATCATCTTGTATATGGAATGTTTCACTAAACACGGGACCATACGGGTTTAGAAAGTACATTGTGCATGGAATGTTTCACTAAACACGGGACCATACGTGTTTAGTGGGTCACATGTTGTAAATCGAAGATTGTCTAAACACGGGACCATACGTGTTAAGGAATTTATACCATTTTGTATATGTTATATGTCACAGAGCATGGGGTCATACGTGTTGAGGCGGTTTCATTACTTTAAATAAACACAATATTTATTAATTTATTTGCAATGTCTCTTGCTGACATCAGTTACCAGTAGTATGTCAGATAAGCGTTATACCATATGTATGACATTACCTGTCTTGTCAGATTCTGCTTATTAGCTACAATACAGCTTTTCCTTTCTTTCAAGCAGATCTATTTAATTTTTCATTGTTTTAGAGAAAACTAGCAATGTCTCTCTATATTAGAAATAAGTTATTGAAATTCACAGTTTGCTATTAATTCTGTCCAGGAAATAACATATTACCTGGTGTCTGAAAAGTGTTTACAAAACTTTTAACCATAAAAAAAGACCAGCTGGGATAGGATACAATATTTATAAATTTAAATTATGCAATAGGCTGAAAACACCTTGTGTAGCAGGGGCCAAGCCAGAAGTTGTCTGTTGGTTCCTTATACATATCCTCACAAATTCAAACCCTCAGTTTGGTAATCTGTTTTTCCTCTCGATTGGTCTGAAGTTGTCTGCAGTTAAGAGGAACATTTTTATGCAACATGATGTAAGTTTGACATCTCGGTTGACTGGTCAGAAGTTGTCTGCAGTCATGAGTCACATTTTATGCAGCACGGTGTATGTTTGACAGCTTTGTTGACTGCTTAAGAAGCATGGTGTATGTTTAGCAACTTTGTTGACTGATCAAAATTAAAGTTGCCTGCAGTTAAGAGGCACTTTAATGCTGCATGGTGTATGTTTGATACCTTTGTTGACTGGTCAGAAGTTGTCTGCAGTCAAGAGGCACATTTTGATGCTGCATGGTGTATGTTTGATACCTTTGTTAACTTCTCAGAAGTTGTCTGCAGTCAAGAGGCACATTTTGATGCAGAATGGTGTAAGTTTAACAACTTTGTTGACTGGTCAGAAGTTGTCTGCAGACGACAAGGTCAGTGTTCATGATTATAAATTCCCATTTTGCTGTCTGGTTAATATCTACTACAGACAGGTGTTTTGTATACTTTTTAAAATTACTTCATGTTTTGTCCTTTGTAATGTTTTTACTCAGTCTTATTGGATTTTTCTTTTTCTTTTTCACAATAACTATTGTATTGTCTTTTGAACTGAGTATATGACAATTTTTTTTTAAAGATGTTTAAATGCTTTTGTATTAATCATCCTATTAAGGAATTTTGCGTCTCCTGTCAAGACGCCTTTGGGTGGGTGGATCCAATCTCTGATTGGATTGTGGCTGTTTGTTATTTTGTTTTCCCACCTTTTTTGATGGCAGGCAGCAGTTTAGAGCATTTTGTATATGTCTTCCAAACTTGTGATGTTTATAAGGGGGTGAACTTAAAATGCATGTATATTGTACCTTGTGAAAGATTACAGGGTTTGAATTATTATTCTAGTCTGGTTGACCCCCCTTTTGCCTATGTACATCATGTTACAATGTCATTATGGTGCTGGGGGTCAGATTGTGTAATATTTTGACTAAGATGTGTAATACTCTATATTTGAGTCCTCCTTTTTCTGACCCCCATTTTGTTAACTGTGTTTTACTTTTCCGTCATTTACTTTAATAAATGACATATTTCACTTCAGCATGATGTTATTTGTTTTTGCCTGTTTATCAAAAAACAAGCTCAGTCGTTTGGCAGGAGAACTAAGGAACATAAATTATTATAAAATAAAAACGACATTATACGATCACCCTGCGCTGTCACGGTTTAGTTTCATGACGTTCGAAAACGTCATTGTTTTTCAATGTCCGTTTCTTCTACCTCATACATTTATTTTGATGAGATTCATTGGAGCTGAGTAAGGACTTAAACCCGCCTTGTTTATATGATTTTACAATGTCATGAACAGCGACTTTCAAAGAATATAATATTCCAAATGGATTTATACATTGGGAGAGATCCTCGCTTGATTGTGCCAGCATATTTTGCTTTTGGGAGTCCAATATCTACAACACATGATCAACGTTTTCTTTTTATGACGTGATTGATTTTTCACACCTTGACTACAAATCGACATTAACTGTGCACCCCTTTTCTCTCTGGATCTATTTTGACATCAAAAGACACGTACTCTCGATGGATATTATTTCTCTGTAGCAAGTTTAAACATTTCTTAGGTCTATTCCAGTTTTTTCAAGGGCAAAACTTTATAGAATGTTGGAAAAGGAAACCCCTCCCCAATTGGCGTCATTTTCAATGCCTTATTTATTTGGACACTACATGTAAAATTTACAATGGAATTTCATAGAACTTCTAGAATGAAGTAAAATTTCGTATTTCATGGAACAATTATGTCCCAAAGCATACCTGAGTGAACGGGATTTTTGGATGTCAAATGTTCGAATATCAAAAGAGTTTTTCTCAGTTAATCATCTGTCGCAAAAAAGTCGTGTTCGAGGTTGCGCCGCCTGGACATACCATTGCTTACAAAAACATTGCTAATTTATTAAAAAATAGAATTTATGATGTATGGTTTACTCTTTAGATAGAAAAGATGATGCTTACTAGGTGTTTTAAAATTCATTGATGTACCTAAAGCGGTTTTAATTTTATGGCGCTAGTCCACGAACTTTTTGATAACCCCTCGTATATCATATTTTCGTAGAAAAAATGTTTTTTTTAAATAAAAATTAACATTTATTTAAAGTTTGGTGTAGGATTCCTCCTTGATATTTCTTTTGGCAATCAAAGAAATACATATAAACTATTTTGATACCAAGTAAACAGCTTCTCAATGAAAAACCTTTTCTTATGAACAACCATTTGAAATGGTAGGTACATCAATTAAATACTTAGCAGTGTATAACAGGTTTTGACTCTACTCACTGGGTTTAGTTTTAAATTCATTGTGCATCTGTTGATATTTCATCATTAGTACTTTCAGTTATCTAACCAAAAACAGTCAGTAAAAACGTGTAAAGAGTATGAAAAGATTCAGTCAATGCATGCATTATTTTATAAACTGAAAACTGTTAATTAAATATTTTTTCGTTAGCAGAATAAGAATTTCGGAACGTTTATAAATTTAAGGAGATATATGAAATTCCTGATTGCACAGAGCTACTGTTAGTAACATATGCATTAACCTCTTCTTTTGGCTATTTTTTGTTTGTTGTTGTTGTCGTCATTGTTCTCTCTAGCTTTTCCATTCATTTCTTTATTTCTTTTTTTTTTTTTAGTGTTTTTTCTTCTTGCTTTTTCTTTCTCTCCTTTTCGTAGTTTACACATACACTTAAGGAACCCTAAGCAATACGTACACACCAAAGAGCTCTACTTGTAGAGCAGTTTTATGCCATTAGAGTGATCTGCCCTTAGAATTAAATAGGATAGAAAAAATGAAGTGTTACCCATTTTTTTTTTTTTTTTTTTTTTTAACCGTAGTCATTCTTCTTATGGCGATATCGGCGCACCTTACATATCTTTTTTTAAAGTTTCTGGAAAAGCCGACCACACAGATTCTTCTAAGGGTATGAAAAGTTTAATTTATTATATCAAAAAGAATTGAAAATCAAGAAATTCATTTAAAAATAAGGTTTTATCAAGCTGATAAAATAATTATTGATTTGGAGTATTCTTACACTTAAGAAAATTACTTTCGGTTTTGAATTGCCTTGTTTTTGAAAAGAAAAGATATTATCGAATTCAGGTTTTATCATATTTGTATATTTATTTTTAGCAAATTTCGCTTTTTTGTAAATCAGTGTACATGAAATGCAATAAAAATTTAAAGCATAAAGAAATTACTTGGTGGTTAATGTTTTTGACCAAATAAAAGAAACGAGAGATAGAAAATGATACATACAATATTTAGGCACAAGTTCTTTCATTTTAAAATTCATGTTTTAAATCTGACAATTTTTCTTCATTATTGTAATCTATGTTCTTAAAAATATCTGGAAAACAAAATATTATAATTATAAACATAGGTTTTTATAACTTTCCGCTCATAATTTGTGCATATTTTTAATAGATCACCCGTGCGATTTCAAATGCTCCTGTCAAAATATGGCAGGTGATTTGTGTCTAAAAGCATTTTGCCTTGAATGCCTACTTATTTGTGTGAGCGCATACTGCCGGAGCAGTGACCAAAGCGAAAAATGTGTCATTCCTAAAGAATTCATTTGTGTACCAGATGAATGTGGAAATCCAACGTACGTTTGTGAAGACCCATTTCCAGTTGAACCAGGTAATATAAAATTACTGCCCAGTGAAAATGAAATGTTTTACAAATGTATGTTGTCTGTTAGCTCTTTTAGCTTTAGGACTGTGGCAGTATGCTGTACATGTACATAAATTTCCATATTCAAAATTAAGCACAAATACTAAGTATGGAGTCGGCGTATATATGAATTAGAGCTGTACACATACCGGTACATCTTTGTGCCTTCTAAACAGGAAATTCTTCAAAATTATAGCTCAGTTTTGAATATTTTTGATATTCTCAACAACTAGAATGCATTTGAGTTACCATATCTATATTGGTTTCAAAAACTTTACAATTTCTTTTAAAAAGAAAGATACATAGCGAACATCAATAAATGTTTTATCAGGCCTCTTTTTTTACTCCCCGATAAAAAATCAACAGTAGTACAGGGGAAACTTCAGGAGCACTGTGCAACAATATATTAGAGAAATGGTGTAATGGATAATAAAAAAAACTTCTGGAAAATTTGAAATCACAAAATTTTTCCAAAATCGACAACATAGAAACGTACGACTTTTCAACTTACTTTATTTACAAAAATTCCTCATGATAAATAAAAGTTCGGGCTTTTTTTATATTATTGACAGCTACTTTTTCAATAAAAATGGAACTCGTAAATTTAATACTTACCATGTTATTGATCAATTGAATTTTTTTTTTTTTTTTTTTTTTCTGTTAAAAACATTCTGATTGTACACACAAGTACAGTACTCCAAATTAATATTTAAAGAGATGCTTGAGTTTCATATCGACATTATCTATGTGGTTTTTGGAGACCAGGTCTTCCAACCAACGATTCGAATTCCCATGAATACTTATTTTTGTATTCATGTGATTTAGAATTTGTCCAAAAATCTCAAACGTGAAAAGAAGAAAACATGGAAGGATATGTAGAGAACGAACAGTATTCAATATCAAAGTCAATAAAACAATACAAAACAGGAGCAGAGCAAACACGGACCTCCGAAACATCAGAGGTGGGATCAGGTGCCATGGAGGAGTGATCGGGAAATAACGGAAAAAAATCCGTCGACAATTCAATGTATAAATAATGAACTAACAGTTAGTATGAAAAACGTAAGTCGGCATTTGACTGAACGATAAATTGTATTTGCTGACAAGGTCGTTGTATCAACCATAGAACTTACGAAATTATGACTTTAAACGAGACTGCTGATATTCTTGTTTCATCAACTTGCTTGTCAATAATCTACCTTGTTTTAGAAATTGTTCATACCAAGAGCATGCTCTTGTGTATCGATATACACTCCGTATGCAGGTGATGAAGGTATATTGCTGCATAAGTAAGGGAAGTTGACGATAGAAAAGTTAAAGTCATCACGTTTATCATATAGCGTTGTTGTTAGAATACCATTAACGTCCCTTTGAAGTAAATTATACAAGTATGACACTGATGTGTCAGACTCTGTGGTAACTTTTATCTCAAGCTCTACAGGATATATCGTATCGACGTAGGAATGGAAATTACCATTGTTAATTGACAATACGTCGTCGATATACAATGTATCTAAATGTCGAGTTGAAGGCCACAGCAAGTGTTTTTCTTTTCACGCATACAATTTTGCACAAATTCTGCTTCATCTGAATACAAAAATAGGTCTGCCAATAACAGAGCGCAATTTGTACCCATGGGAATTCCAATAGAATGTTGGAGGACCTGATCTCCAAAAACCACATAGAAATTGTCAATCAGAAACTCAAGCATCTTTTTTATATCAACTTTAGAGTACTTGTGTGTGCAATCAGAATGTGATTTAACAAAATAATTTTGCAAATGACCAATGACGAGGTAAGTAAATTTACGAGGTCCATTTTTATTGGGAAAAAAACAGCTGTCAATGATATCAAAAAGCCTGGAATTTTAATTTATCGTGGGGAATGGTTGTGTATAAATTTGAAAAATCATTTGTTGTGGCCATCAACTGGACATTTAAATACATCGACGATGTATTGTCAATCAACAATGGCTATTTTCGTTCTTATGTCGATACGATATATCCCGGTGAGTTTGAAATAAAAGATACCACATAGTTTGACATCTGTTCATATTTAGATATTTTACTTTAAAAAGTTGTTAATTGTTATCTAATAACCAAGCTCTGTGATGAACGTGAAAGCTTTAAAGCAATATGAGCTGCATTTTTGGAAACTTTATTTTGCTGTAAAAATGTGTTATTATGATAAAGAATGGGTGGACTTAACTGGCCAGAAAAAATGCCGTAAATTTAAGTTTCATAAAATGTCCTTTTTTTTTCTATCATATAAGCCCCCGAAATCTTAACCGTGTATTCACGGTACGGATGTGAAATTAAAACGCTCTTTTCTGGTTAAACTAAATAAATATTGAAGGCTTGGTGCCTGAAGATTTCTTGAATATCAATAGATAATCAGGGTCACGCGTTTTTCATTGTCTGAATACATAGTCAGCGCATGTTTGTCGGCTGTTCTTAAGAAAAGTGTTATTGTATATTGAACAAAATAATGTCACATTAAAAGGAGAAGTGCCGACAAACGTGCGCTCATACCTACTTTAACAAAAAACATGTTCAAAACAAATTTCTCGCTTCCATTGTTATGACTGCGATTGCCCTGTTAAATATCATAATTCATCACGTGATGTCTATCTGCGAGTGTACTCGTGAAAGCAGTTACATTGTATTCTTCTACCTGACCTCGTTGTAAATCATGTCTTTGAGCGTGTGTGGTTGCCGTTTTCAGAATTTAGCAAATTAAATTTAGTTTAAATTGTGCGTGTCATCACACTTTTTAAATAATTACTTTGACATCGCCGTAATTTGCTAAAAACGTATTCGAATTTTTGGAGAGAGAGGGGGGATAGAGAGAGAGAGATGTCAACAATGACGCCGATCGTTAGCCCGCCTCCTATAAATATTGATTACCGTATAAGTGGAAGTTTTAGCGAGACGCAAATTTAGTGATTTATCCATAAAAACTGGTAGTATATTTTTAGCGAGATGTTATTTCAGCGATTTCAAAACGCACATTTAAGGAGCTATTATAAATAAAACGCAATTAATTTTAAGCGATATTCAATTTTAGCGATCTCGGCACCCTCTCTAATAGTGCCAAAATTAAATCCTCGCTAAAAATTCTACTTATACGGTATGTGATTTAAAAACGACTCCGGGTACATGTCAAATTCCGGAAGACGACACTTATGTATCGTTGCTTCAATTTTGATACATGGCAACTGGGCATTGATTTTGCACAAATGTTCCACCCAATATAACCAAGTATACGTCGCTCTTTCCATTGCTTGTAATACACTTTGGATTCACTTCATTTACAGCTTCGTAGAGGAGTCGCAAAAAGATCCAAAATAGGGCTTTAAGTCCACCCATTCTTTTTATGTAACTTAAACCTTTATGACTTAAAATAAAGCAGAAGGAAGACTTCTTTATACAAACCAATACCCCCGGTATACAGTTTTATATAAGAAATCATTATTGTACAAGACGACAGTTAATCAACGTTATTTTTTCTATCATTAAAATAGTTATTTACAATTTTGCAACAAATTCCGACATTAAAGTTGCTGCTCATATTGCTTTAACTTTTCAATCTTCAATTTTCCTTAAGAATGCAGCAATATACCTTCATCACCAGTATGCGGGTATATATTTCTCTCTTGATTCGACACTCACGAGCATGTTCTGCGTTTAAACAATTTCTAAAACGAGGTTTATTATTGACAAACTAGTTCCTGGAACAAGAATATCAGTAGTTTAAAATCATTATTTCGTAAGCTCTGTGGTCGATACAAATACCTTGTCAACAAATACAACTTATCATTCAGTCAAATGCTGACTTACGTTTTTTATATTGTTAGGCCATTATATACACACGGATTTATCGACGGATTTTCTCGTTATTTCCCGATCATACAAGAAACACACGGCGGATGTGACATTTCGGCAGAGAATGCTCACTCCTCCATGGCATTTGATACCGACTCTGATGTTTTTGATGTCCGTGTTTCCTTAATTTCAATTTTATATCGTTTAATAGACTTTTGGGCCTGAATACTGTTTTTATCTCCATATATCTTTAATTGTCCAGAATATAGTATTATGAAAAAACGTAAATAGTCCCTTGGAACTATATGACAGTTGTGTCATTAACGTTATTTCTTAAATTTACTTACGTTTTTAATTGCATTATATACATTATGTATAAGTTATTAAGGATTTTTATTTTCTACAAAATATTTGTAAACTAGAACTGATCACAAGAAAGTTGATTACATAGTCTATTATTATATATTTTCCATTAAAAATTTTAGTATGTCACAAGTAAATGGTGACTTACAGAAAGTAAAAATCGGTTTTGATATATTTTCAAAATAACCCATAGGGGTTGTTGTAGTAATATTTCTTTAACTATACGAAGAAAAATCATTCTTAACAGGGAAATGTCCATATTTTAACAAGAAGCTTCAGAGAATGGACGTCACAGAGTGCACTGCAGAACAAGCGTGTCCCAGTGAACCTTACCTAGCATCAGCTCTCGTTCAGAAAAGTATTTCTTTGATTGATTGATTTCTTATTTATTTGTTTGTTTATTTTTTTATTTATTTATTTATTTATAGATTTATTAAATTATCTATTTATTTATTTCTTCGCGTAATTAATATATTATTCAGTAATCTACATATTTATTAATTATTATTTATTTATTTTATTAATTTATAAATTCCTTATTAAGCACTTTTTTTATAGGCGAAGATTGTCTGGCAAATCCCAAAAGGTTAGTTTCTGTTATTAAAAAAGGATTATGCGATATTCATGATTATTTTTTCTTTATAATTAGAATACAAATTTTTGTGCATTAATTTCCTGTAACTTTTTAAATTTCAGGACAAATCGCTGTTTTGACCAAAATTCGAAAAGGTAAAGTGGATGGAAAGGTTTCAGAATCTATTTGAAGAATAGAAGACAGACGATAGTATCAAAAATAGAATTTCAGTTATGTTTGAAAGAAGGCTAGCAAAGTAAATATATATATTATTTCCTTTTTAAACCACTAAATTTTGTTCTATTTTAGCACAACAGAAATGAATACAAGGCTTCAATCCACGAAACAGCACCAAACAAGCTCTATCGAACACCTGTATGTTTGATTTCTGACAACTAAGATAACGAGTATTATTAGTTTAGTTCAAAGCTTTTCTCTCTAACAAGTGAGATTTATCTCAAGCGGTCCAATTTATACTCGGTTTCTTTAAACAGTAAAAATTGAGATATTTCTTTCTCTTAACATAAGTGTTCTATCCCATTCTGTATAGAAGAGAGATACGTCGTACATACTGAATACATTCTCAAGCCTATATTTAGAATATGTTTATTTCATCTACATTCTGTCTATTATGAAAGAAATTGTAACTTTTGGTTGTTACAGATTTGTTTTTCCAAATATTATTGCATTAAACTCTTTTGAATTGCCAAAAAATCTATTTGAAAAAAAAACATACACTTGTACTTTTATTTTCCTTATTTTGACACATTTTCTTGACTTTTTACTGAATTTAAATCACACATTTTCTTTCAAGAGATGTTTAAGTGTACAACGTATATGGAGAGAACGATCATAGGCAGTTATGCCTGCTGTTCAATCCATTTCTATGTATAAATATATTTTAAACTAAGTGTACAACGTATATTATGAGAGGGGTCTGATATACATGTACTAAATAGTACTAAATTTAATTCTATGAAGGAAAAATATAACGTTTAATAAAATGTCAAAGTTTATTATAAAATGTAATTACTGAGATAAATGAATATTGTCGACATGGTGACTCTTTTTTTTTCTTTTACTCACAAAAGGCCCTTCACCAGCCTGCATCCATATAGCTCTTTTTCCAAATCAAGAGTGTATGATGCAACTATTTTTTTTTATTCCTTACATTGATTATAGAAGTATAGACATAATCATTTAATAAATAAATTATCATATTTTCAAATAGGTAAATGTTGGCAAGTGTCATTATAAAGAACACCTTTTTGTATTTAGAGAAATTTCAGCTTCCAAAAACATGCATACAATGTACGTGTATGGTATCATTTAAGCATTGAATTCATATTTTGGGATGTTTTCGGTCCTTCAACACACCTGGCCGTGCCAAAAACGCGTGGTATGATAATTTGACGGGACGGCCAGGTTTTTCATAGGACCGAAGACATCCCAAAATATAGATTCAATGCTTATATTGACATTCTCGAATTTTTCATCTCCATAATTGTTTATTTCGGTTCGAAGACGGTACTGTTTGAGCGTTATTGTGCCCTAAAAATTTATTGTTCTTAAAAAGTTATGAAATTGGCTTTAACAATAGTTGAGTAGATGAATACGATAAATCATAAAAGAATATGGCATGATGAAGAGCCTTTCTTGAAATATGACGTCATTAATTTGGTACATTTTTAAGTTAAATGCAGAAATGCTTCAAAATGACTGGTTTTCCTGCTTATTTTCCTTTAGAAAATAGTGTCTACCACCGTCGCCCGCTTTAATTTTTGGATATATTGTGCATACAACTATGAAAAATCCCAGATCTCAAAATCTTTCCGGGCGACGGTGGCAGAGTATGTTTTCTGAAAGAAAATTCCACTAAAAATTGATGTCTTCTGCAACTTTTAAAGAAAATACGGGAAAATGCACAGGTTAATGACGTCACAATTAGCATTTAGGAGGTCATATGAGAAAAACCATTCGTGTATTCTTACTGCAGAGAATTTCTATGATTCAGAAAGAATTAATTTTAATTTCTTATATCACTTTCATATTTTAGAAAAATATAGGGCTTTATTTGTATTGAAACTGTACCTTCTTTCTTTAGCGCCCTTTAAAACTAGTGTGCTTTATAGACGTAAGAGGCGTTTGTAACGTTTGTGACGTTGCAAAATTAAATAACGCAAACGAACATTGCGAGGAAAAAAAGTGACAAATTGATTTTAAAAGCTTATTTGTTGTATTTTTACGTTAATTTAAAAGGGTTAATTTTTTTAAATCAAATTTTGTCAAAACAATGTACATTTTGGTGTTCTAAAGTAGTAAAAATGCATGTATTTCTTACTGTGTATTCTAGCGCGCGGTGACAAGGTTTCGCGTGTGTTATTTAAGGGGGGCGACTGGGATTTTATTGTGTAAAAACTAAAATAGCGAAAATCTCTATTTTTATACCATATACAACTTACATTGACTTCAGAGTATATGCCAAGTTTAGGGAAAATCTACCGTCCAGGTATAACTATAGGATTATATAGGAAAGTGCCAAATTTTCGCACTTTAAAGCAAATTATACAAATACTACTTTAGACTTTTTACTCAAACTATAACATATGATGAGTAATACTATATTGTACATTATATGTAAGAAACACAAAAATCTATCGTCTTGTTTCCAGAGGGGACATTTCAGAATGCCAAATAATAACGAATTTTCCTGTATTTATAGAGTACCACGAAATATGAAGGATACAAAGAATTTATACAAAAAAAATTTTAAAAAAATGAAAGAGACATTCTCAAATTTCTATGTTTTAAATTTCATGAGCATAAATTTATTACCTTTTCTTTAATAACATTTTATTACCCCCTTCTTTGAGATCTTCACTTTATCATTACGTCAAAAACACACTTTTACGACGTCAATCTACCTATCAGTTGAAAAAATCGTTTTCAAAATCAGTTTTATAAAATTTTGATTACATTTTTCAGCCTATAATTTCTTAATTCTATAAATTTTTATTAATTAAGTGAAAAAATTGCTTTAAAACAGTAAATACGTAACTTTATTTTACTATGATGCCCGAAATATTGCGCAGTGTAAACCCCAGTCGGTCCCCTTTGAGCATTGAATTCATATTCTTGGATGTCCTATGACACACCTGGCCGTGCCGACAAATTGAATTCCGCGCGTTAGCGCGGTATGATAATTTGTCGGCACGGCCAGGTGTGTTATCGGACCGAAGACATCCCAAAATATAAATTCAATGCTTATATTTACATTCTCTAAATTTTCATCTCCATAATTGTTTATTTCGATAATGTTTAATGTGAATTTAGTGCCCTTCAAAACTGGTGTGCTTTATAGACGTAAGAGCCGTTTGTGACGTTGCAAAGTTAAATAACGCAAACGAATATTGCGAGGAAAAAGGTGACAAATTAATTTTGAACGCTTATTTGTTGTATTTTTACGTTAATTTGAAAGGGTTAATTTTTTTTTTTAAATCAAATTTTGTCAAAACACTTTACATTTTGGTGTTCCTACACAATTGAAAATGCACATAGTTCCTACTGTGTATTCTAACGCGCGGTGACAAGGTTTCGCGTGTGTTACAGAAATTGGAAGGTCGTGGATTTCTAACGGATTTTGTAAAGCAAATTACACTGAATGTCAATATATTTAAGTTGTGATAAGGCTACTATAACTTTATGTAGAACACATTAATAGTTGAACATGCTGAACGTTATTAGAATATTACAGCATTATATTTACATCGACTGAATATTTTCTCCTTTATTTCTTAAGATAACCCGTTGCGTTAATCACTGCATGAACTACATTAGGCGTGTCGCCTGTACAGATTTCTTGATCAATGGCTGTTCCATCAATGGAACGTATAAAGACGTTCGCATCATTAATACAATAATTAATCTTTGTAATCCTACTTTAAATGATTATTTAAACAGATATAAATATAAACAATAAAATGCATTTCTTTGTTTGTTATTACTGGAATTAAAGGACGCAGCTATTGCAGAAAAAATTTACATAACCCGCTTACGCGGGTTATGTATTTTTTCTGCAACAGCTGCTTCCGTTAATTCCAGTAATAACAAACAAAGAAAGCATTTTATTGTTTAAGTAAACTGAAACTTATTAACAGATATAAAACTGACAATTTTTTTACTTTTGTCTCTTGAACAGACCACGAGACAGTGGCGGATCAGGAGCAGCAATAGGGGTGGTGGTGGTTCTACTGATCCTTGTGGCTATATTGGTGATGCTAGTGGTGTTTTACAGGAGAAACATATGTGGTGTCAGGAAAACAATAGAGCCATTGGTTGATAGTATGTATTTTAAGGGTACAAAAACAATTTACTGAAAGCAGTGCAAATATCATTAATGGAATTATCCAGTTTTGCAATTGAACTTTAAAATTAAATAAGACGAGAAATTAAGATACAAATTAATTAAATTTTTTCACACTTTATAGATATCAGAAACCATCTTCAAACCAACAGAGAAAGTGAAATAATACCTTCTGATAGAAATGGTAAGTTAAGACATATGTTCTAGTAAAAATCATGTTTATCACCTCGAACAAGGAGAATTTATATAAAAAAAATGTTTATTGATCAAATAAAATGTACAAATATATTTTCAGGATATTAAAACAAATGCATGTATTATCAATATGCATGTTCTAGTTAGAGGATATTCTTTGCTTTTTTGAGGATATGGAATTTTTTTTAGAGTAGGACAAGATTATGCTAATACATGTATTAATGAGAACAACGCAAACTTATATTGTATAACAAAAATTCCTGCCTCATGAGTTAAATAAATTCCATATTGCACTACAAAACTTTCTGTTTTATTATGCTTTCCTTGATTGTATTATTTGTATCTGTCTTTTAATAACATAATGTCGTAGGCTGAGACGTCGTAATTGAGTAGGCAAGACATTTTAGCCTAGCTAATGATTGGAAGATTGAAAACATTGTAAACAAAGACATCAACAATGTGTTTGGGGAAAGTTTTGCAATTTTAGTCTGTCAGTATGGTTTATTTACTCTTATCACAGGTCAGGAATATTTTGTTCTAAATAGGAATGAAAATTGAGATTAGCTGCACTTCTGATAGTCTGCCCTTCCATGACAGAGTATCACTTTCACATCCTTTAACACCGTACAGTCACTGTGGTACTGCAGTCTTTTGTCAATTCCAAATGCTTTATTTTATCGTAGCAGAAAAAGAGGTCTTATGCGCTAGGGTAAAAACACTTAGATACCAACAGGAAAATTTTATTAAATTTCATTTATTTATTAACTATTTATTCATTAACTATAAATCAAGACTGCATGTTTTTTTTAAAGATGAGGAGGCAGGAGAAGCAGTTGAGACTGAAAAGCCTTTACTTCCAGGTAAATACGTATCTATCCTAAAGTCGAAGACGTTTAACGAATGTTTTTCATGATTAAAAACAAGATGTGTTTGTGAAACACTGTGCGCCCGGCGGCAACAAAGTTAGCATATAGGTCTTAGTCAAGGTCACAAGCTTAAGGTTATTGACCTTGGTGTCATTTGAAAGAACTTGATTAGTGGAGTATGCAGTTCAAATATGAAGTCTCTATCTCTCGTGGTTCAAAAGTTATGGCGAAGGTTAAAGTTTGCAGGAAAAAAGATATTTTCAGAACAGCTGCCACAGTGAAGGTCACAAGGTCATTGACCTTGGTGTCATTTGAAAGAGCTTAATTAGTGAAGTATGCATACGAAATATGAAGTCTCTATCTTTTATGGTTCAAAAGTTCTAGCGAAGGTTAAAGTTTGCAGACAAACAAACAAACAGATAGACAGGACAACAACAATATACGCCCCGGATCTATCGATTCGGGCGCATAAAAAAGATTTAAATGTACAATTATAACACTCAGTGGATTTTTAGATACTCCGTTAAAATAGTGAGTGTGTTTCTCTAAGATATTTTTATACAATTTTATCATTTGCTACTTTGTCAATTTATCTCACAATCTCAACTTGACTGAAAGTATTTATAGATGAAGCAGAATTTGTGTTTTCAAATACAGGGACACATTTTTTTTCAAAATGAGTTGAAAAGAGAAAACTATGAAGTATTCATTTTAAAAATTGAGGCTTTGCAAGTGCTGCTCTTTAATAAAATGTACAAGTATTTTTCAAACTGTTTGCACATTTCCTTGTTTTGCAAAATGTTTGACTTCTTGAGACTAATATTATTTACATCTTTAATGCATTAGTTGAATACTGTTTACCCCGTCATCTGTACATTTTTTCACTGGAAATTCAACCATTTAGTTTTGGTCCCTTTTAGCTCACCTTAGCTGATAGCTCAAGATAGCTTTTCTGATCACACGGTGTTTGTTTTCCGTTCATCCGTCCGTCTGTAAACTTTTCACGTTTTTTTTTATATCTTATGGACAATAGATCCAATTTTAACCAAAGTTGGTATAAAATATCTTTAGTTGAAGGGGAATTGTTAAAACGAAATCCCACCCATCACCCGCCTCCCCATACAAGGGGAAATATTCAAAAGAAGGTAAAAATAGGGTTTGCCATTTATTTAAAAAAACACGAAAAAGAGTCTTCTTCCCGAGAAACACTGCGCCCGGAAAGCTGAAACTTATGCGCAATTTTACTCAGGTATTGGAAATTCTAAATTCTTCCATCATTGTCCCGGGAGTAAGTTGGGACCATACAAGGGAATCAAAGTTTTATTTTTAGGAAAAGCCTTAAAAACTCTTATCTTCTCAAGAGCCAATGGGCCAGAGAAGCTGAAATGTATGTGGAAGCAACCTGGGATGGTGTAAATCATGAAATAACGCACCGTCTCAAAAATTTATTCAGTAACAGATATAAAATTTTCTTTTGTGAATATAAAGAACATTTTTAGCCTTAATGTTTAAATGTCAGTTTATCATAGTTAAGCATTTATAAATGTAAATGACCAATTTTTTTATTTAAATCTTTAACTGTCTTAATGATCATGTGGATTAGTTATTTAACACATTGATATAAACAAGACGAAGACTTCATTCCTAGATTTATACTCAGGTCTACATGTAATCTTATCAAATAAAATTGCTAATCTTTTTATGCACTTAAATTCTTACAGGTAATGAAGCTCCAGTGAATGGCTTAGAAAAACAGAAACAAGGTAATTTTGTGTTCAGAGTTGTACGAATTCGATTCCAGACATTTTCAAGATATGGAATTCTAAATATTAAGTTTTGGTTCGTTTTATAACGGTATATAACTGCATTGAGAGCCCTCCCCCTGTGTAAGATATGTACATGTATGTTCATTGAATTCTCTTTTATTTTTATTCTCTACTAACTCTATAGTTCAAATTTAGTAGGGACTTACTCTGGGCGAAAACATCATCTTTATTTCATGATATTTTTTTCTTAATGAAACACTGCTTTTATAATGGCACTTTACCAGTCTCTTCCATTTAATAGTATTATATTTTCAAATGAAAAAAATTTAGGGAAAAAAAGAGAAAATGTATAGCTTTGAAATTCAAGTGTATTAAATAAATTAATAAAGTACAACCACTAAAACCGACTATCTATTAGATTATGTGCTTCTAGTTAAACTTAAAAACCTACATTCAAAGTAATATAACAGATAAATTATATTAAAAACCATTAAAAAAAATTGGTCATCAGCATGCCTAGATATAGCAGGGATTAGGGTGGGTGGTGTTGGTAGGTGACTGCCCCTCCCTAGATTTTCAGTTACTAGTATTTAATCAACGAACCTTGGGCACCTCCTAAGAAACTCGTATCCCGGGTAAAATGGCAAGAAAGTGAATAAATATAAAAAAAAAATGAATGTAAAACCTGGAAGTCACAGCTGTATAAACACACAATTAACAATGATCCTGCAACCAAAATTGTCCAGGCCAAGTTAAAGCTGACATGAACTCTTAAAAAGCCATCATTTTTCATCTTTGTAAGACTTACTACATTCCTGTACACCTTTGTCCGCCATATTTCTTCGATTCCGCCATATTTAAAGCTGACATGAACTCTTAAAAAGGCATCCGTTTTCATCTTTGTACGACTTACTACATTCCTGTACGCCCTTGTCCGCCATATTTCTTCGATTCCGCCATATTTAATCGAAGATTTTTGGCCACCTGTACCTGCTATATATAGCCTTGTAGAATTGTTTCACTTGAGTGATTTTCTAGCCTGACTATCGACATGTACACATCTCCGATAGCAAAGTTGTCATAAATCCATAAACTGACCAAAAACATGTTTTAAAAGTTAAAAAATCCAACAAAAACTATAACAAAACTGAGAAGTGAATAATTTTTTAATGTATTTGCTGCAATTTAGAAAAAAAATAACACGGAAAACAGCAAAAACCGTTTGGATATGCACGCATGCAGGTCGAGAATATGCATCGAACGCAGTGATAAAGATATTTACCTGAATACTGCTATCGTTACAGGGATGTGCACATGTCTAAAGAAATATCCTATTTTACTTTTATTGAAATATGCATCTCAGAAGTCATGTAATCCATTGCTAACTGAACAGTAAATAATTTTCATCACATAGCACTTGGACGCACGTGGTCCACGACGATCAGTCTATTTGTTCAGGGGAAATTCAAAGGTGAAAAGCTTACTGGTATTTGGTTGATTGAAAAAATGCAAATAATTTTTTCAATCAACCAAATATTACTGCTGTCTGTATATGTAAATGTAAACAAGTTTTAGAAACTTGGCTTAACTACATTACATTTATTTCATAGCGAGCAACATTACGAATCATTCATCCTTTGACTAGATTCTCTCGTGAAAGGGGGGGGTAATAAAAATTGCATAACTCTCTCTGAAAAAGATCGGATTTTATTACGATCAAATATTTTCATTATAAATACTTTGTATTGGCTTTATTTTTTTTTTTTAATATAGACCTAATATAACTTGATTTAAACTTATTTTATAATTTTTTACACAATAAACGAGCTTGATGCTGTGGTACATGAATGATCGAAATAGAATTCATCGGCGGATCCAGAGGTGGGGTGGGGTTCCGGGGATTGGACCCCCTTTATTTTTGCACATACATACACAGAGAGAGAAAGAGAGAGAATGTTTTTTTCTGCAATATAAAAGATAGATATAATTTGAAGAATTTAAAAAAATCTCCTTTGTCCTGTCTGTTCGCTAGATCTGTAGATTTTCGCGGATTTGCTTTCCTCTTTGTACCTTCAATCATTTTTCAGTCATTTATTTGAATCTCTTCACCATTTTACAACAGTATACAGAGATCACAAAATATATAGGTGATTTTATACATAACAGTAGATCTATAAAGCATGCGTGAATAAGAAACTAAACAAAAATTGTACGTTGCTATAAATCTGAAGTATGGGAATTTAGGCCGGGGGCATATTTTATTTTTTTTCTTTATAAAAGAGCACAATTTTCACAGAAAACAGTATCTATTGTTACTCATAATGTGTTAAGAATTAATTACATTCTGAAATTTTATGCTTTTTTCTGTTAAGCATAGCATTCTTTCTGAAAGTAACGAGCTGCACTTTAGTATGTATTGAAACTCATCTCCAAGTTCTTTTATCTTGTCTTGGTAACCCTGGCTAAGGGCTCCGATTACCCACCAGTAACATGCAAGGTAGATTCCAGCGAACTTTGGCTATACCATTTTTGAACACCTCAGAAGTAACTAACTTTTAGAAGTATACATGAAATATACATGGAATATTTCGTTTCAGTGAAGATAAAGGTTTAAATTGTTCCCGTAGTATGCAAATGGAGGGGGCTTTTCTAATGATAATCTTTTGCTGCAGTTTTAAATAATATTTTGATTTGGAAGCTCCCTCCACATTTTTTGTTGCCGGAAAATGCGCAGATTCAAGCATTTTTAAAAGTAATGTCCCGAACAAAAAAGTTACAGGAAGCCCCCCTAAAAAAATGGATATTAGAGTGTGATACATAGGGGTTTTTTAAAAGTTTTTTTGTGTTTGTTTGTTTGTTTGTTTGTTTGTTTTTTTTTTTTTTTTTTGCTTGTCAACTGAATTTGGAGGTCCCCCGTCAATACAAATTGAAGTGGCCGTGGTGTGATTCTAGGCATGAGTGCCATGCGCGGATCTATTGCGGGGTCAGGACCACCCCCACCCCCCGGGATTTGCAAGGTTATGAAATTTATATACTAAAGCAAGGAAAAAAGTTTACGTTGGACCCCCCTCGGAAAACGCAGACTCCCTGGTAAATGCGAATTTATGTTAAATTGGATGAAAAGTCTAAGGTTCGAAGCTTATTTATACAATGTTTGTTTTGTTCTGTTTGTGTATGTATAACTGTAATGATTTTGTACATTGTTCTATATGCACCACTGTGGGCCGAAATTGATTGAATAAATATTCTAAGTCTAATTCTTATCAGAAGTCATCGACTCCCCCCCCCCCCCCCCCCCCCCCCCCCCCACCACGAAATAAGTTATTGAAGTCTGGGCGAGTTTACGAGTCTGTTTTTTATTTTTTTATTTTTTTTTTTTTTTTTTTTTGCTTGTCAAGAAATTTCTGGGTTAGATTTTTTATTTGGAACTGAGGTGGATCCCCCCCCCCGGAAAAAAATTGTTGGATTTGCGCCTGAGTGCTGAGGGCACCGACCTGGAATCCCCCCTTTCTAAAAATGGCTGGATCCGCCCCTGGAATTAATTGTGCGTTATATTTCTTGACATAAAATGTTAATAGTCGAAGCATATAGGAAGGGATAGCAAACTGCCGATGAGAGTCCCACATTCTTCCAAAAATTAGCTTTTTATACCTCTTGCCTTAATTATTTTTGTTCAGATTCCTTACCTGAGCTAGAAGGTATTTGAGAAAGTTCCCAATGTTCCCATTCCTTTGATGTAGATTTGACGTTTATTTCCCTTTTAATTTCGGCGTTTAGGTTTATTTTTCTTGTCAAAAGTAAAATTATCATTTCAATTTTTGAACAAGTTTCCGTACTACGGAAGCCCGTTGGTGCCACGTATGAAAAATATTTTATCTGGCCGCTACTTATTATTGGCGGCCGCCACTTGTGTATCTGGCGGCCGCCATTTATTATTTCGCGGCCGCCACTTATATATCTGGCGGCCGCCACATAAATTATTTTGCAAAAGGTGAGTGTTATTGGGTTAAGAAGATGGATGTTGACACAACCGCTGCTTATTGATAAAAAAGTAAATGATAAAAAACGAATTCTGAAATATTGGAACACCATTCTTGGAAATCCAAAATGCAAAACTTCATTTAATTCTCAACCAATCATAGCTTACAGCAAACACCATGATTTATGTCCGTGACCCCTGATGAGGCTTCTTAATAATCGAAACACTCTACAAATACTTGCATAATTCAAATCAAATATTAATCTGCTCTATGCTAAAACATATCTGTAAGAAGTGTGGATTGGAGTGTTGGTTCATAATAAATCTCTTACAAGTTTGGTTGATTGATGTTGCTATTATAATTTTTACACTGTATCCACCTCTTAAACCACACATTAAAACATGTGCGCGATTCAGGAAGCCAGGTGTTATCTGGCGGCCGCCATATAAATTATGTGGAGGCCGCCAAATATTATGTAGCGGCCGCCAGATATATAAGTGGCGGCCGCCAATAAAATAAGTGGCGGCCGCCAATTAATAAGTGGCGACCGCCAGATGTTAGATAGCGGCCGCCAGATAAATTATGTGGCGGCCGCCAGATATTATATAGCGGCCGCCAGAAAAATATGTGGCGACCGCCATTAAAACTATGTGGCGGCCGCCATAAAAATTATGTGGCGGCCGCCAGATATATAAGTGGCGGCCGCCAAATAATAAGTGGCGACCGCCACATAATTATGTGGCGGCCGCCATATATACAAGTGGCGGCCGCCAAATAATAAGTGGCGGCCGCCAGATAAAATATTTTTCGTACGTGGCACCAACGGGCTTCCGTAAGTTTCGACATCCCCGCCTGAAAAAAATTCTTGATCTGTCCCAGGATCTAATAAATGGTACAGCACAAAATGCATATGATTTTATATCTCTTATTGCGCTTACGGATGGTTACAGGAGAATAAAGAGAGTTCAATGAATAAAATAGTGATTAAAAATTATCTGTATTCAACCAGGTTTCAAG